TGAAATGTGTATGATTCAACTGAGATCAAACAGTTCACACTATTATGAAATTGAATAGATTCATTGTTGAAACATTGCTAAAAATAAATCAGACATATATTTATTGTAAAATCAAACTCATTCGCCGAATGTAAACAAACCGCGCAATTGCATAAACGCTTATCTATGGCATGGAACACCAAAATCCGATAAATAGTTTTAAAAAATGTGTTTCTCCGGAAGAAAACCGGAGGTTTTCAGGATTTTTTAGAAATATCCGGATTTCCGGAAGATTTTCATTATTATAATCGTGTTTATTAAACAGTTTTTGCACCTTCTGTTTATACCAGTTCAGTTCTATAAGTGTTTCACAGTCAGGCCATTATCAACTTGTATGAACGGTAAAATTTCTAAAGCTGACAAGTCAAAATAACTTGAATACTCAGATCTACATTAGGCCTGGTATTTAGGGAACTCAACTCATAATGTACAGGTCGCGGGATCGAAACTCGTCGCCAAACATGCTCCCCGATTCAGTTCTGAAAGGTATTATAATATAGCAATCTCATTATTCGTTGGTAAAAGGAGTACCCCAAGAGTTGGCGGTGTGTGGTATTGACTAGATGCCTTGCCTCTATTCTATCACTTCAAAATTAGGGATAGCTAGTGCAGATATTTTTCAAGTTGCTTTGTGCAAAATTAAACAAACAAACGCAGATCCACTTGAAACAAATTGTTTTGCCAAAACTCGTACATTATCTCCTTATGGTGTAAATTTCTCTCTATCTTTCTATATATAAGCCTCACCAACATTTCGTGAAATAGTGGGTTTGTATATATTTTATAAAGGCAGCATTTTATAGCAAAACAACAGAATATTACAAAACACACATCAAGATTGTTTTCCCTTATATAAAACTCAAATATCCAGAAGAGCACAAGATTATGGAACTTTGTGTATGCGTTTTTAATAGGTATGGTAGTTTGGTTTCAAACTTTTTAAAATTCTTATAAAGCAGAAAATGAATATTGATTTGAATATTAATAAGAAATCATTAATGGTTTTCTTTGGAACGACGTTTAAAAGTGTCAGGTTAACTGAAATTTGTTTGGTTACACATCTGATATAGGTTCAACGATGAAAATCACCATTCACTTGTTATCAGCATCCTAACACAAACTTTTATTTTAGATAAATCTGAAATAATATAAACTGACCATAAAGTGGACAGAAATACGAAACTGTTGTACTTGAATACAGTGCAAGTAAAGTTTTTTCTTCACAGTTAAGCAAAAAGTTGCACGATGGGCTATCTGTGGTCTGCCCAACACTGGTATCGAAACCCGTTTTCTAGCGTTATAACTCCGCATACATACCGCTGTGCCACTGGGGGGTTTGCAAGTAAAGAACATGGTAGCTAAGGGTGTATTTGCAAGAGGTATAAAAATTAAAAAAAAACATTCTCAGGGAATATAATAAGAAGGGAGGGGGCTGTATTATTATGAAAATTGAAAGATGGAAGAGAAAGCATGAGCAACATACCAATTTGTTGATGCTATTCACACTAAAAATGCTGAGGGCCTTGGTATATAAAGATCAACCTACTGATTAGCATTATTCTATATGTACTGAAAAAAGAATATAACTGAAATTTTAGTAGTAGAGTTCTAATTATATTGGCAAACTGTTCGAATAGCTATTGCTGCATAAACACCATACACAGTTTTCTGGTTCACTTGCTCAGGACAACAAAAAGAAACATTATACAAGGTTCTATGTGATACAAATGGTTCATCTCTACAATGTGTCACAACATATGTTCCTGTCCCAATTACTATTGCAATTTTAGTTTTATATGACAGGTTATTGTCATTTCCTGTATTTTCTTCGAAATATTTACGATGTAATATATATTACGATATCATTCATGTTTCAACGTACCTTACAAATAATATCAAGTTTATATATTTTGTTCATGTTCACAGTTTAAAGTATTAAATCAAACCTGTCATATCTCCCAAACAGTTAAATGGGTTTCTCCACTAAATGTAATTCCAAAACACAAATATGCTTTATTTGAGTTATTACTATATACAGATAATGCTCAAGCTTTCTTCTTTTCGACTGCTATATGTTCAGGTATGACCTTCGCTACTTTCCTTGGTTCAGTGACATAAGTTTTAGGGCACTGCATTTCTGCAGATCCAGGTATCATAGGAACACCTACATCAAAAAGAAGACCATGATGAAACAGTTACTATGTCCAAGCAGTAAAACATTCTATATGATAAAATCTTACACATCATACAATATAGTTTGTTTGTTTTTTACAAATTATTCATGTTATGTGGAAAGACACCGAACCGCAACACAGACACGTGCAAACATATTTCTTTTCAGGGTAGAAAAATGGCAAAACAAGATAAATCGTAGTGACAACTCCATATTTTTGAGGTGAAGATCATGTCTGCCAACCTCACATGCTTAGTTTTGACCAAGGATATCTTCAGTTCACAATGTATTACAGTAATAATTGTTTTCCAACATGTCTGTCACATTTAAAATCACTATATAGTTATCTACTTATAAAAAAACCAATTTTCAAAACATGAGGCTACTTGCAAGATTTCTTAAAATTATTTATCCACTGTCCTAGAAGAACGTCAAGCTAGACAGTGAATACATGTTTGAACACATGATTTTTCCTACTTTGCATGTTTCCTTTCCTGTAGTGATACATAATTTCCACTATTAAAGTGAAGCTTGAAACATTTTGTCTGACTATCAAGGAAGTAAAACAATAGACAAGTATTATTAGTCAAACTCCACAGTTTTGAACTAAAACTACATAACTAAGGACAGGTTTGAATGTTTTTATAAATTAATTATTGTGTTTTTCATAAGGGATTGGAATTTGATATAATTATTGCTATAAAGTGTTGCTTTAAATAACATCACAGGCCCTGGTGCATAATGTTTCATATAGCTAGAATATAAACAATGTATAAATGGGATACTGATAACTTTGGAACTCTTAATGATAAATATAGAGAAAAAAAAAAGCTCTTTTATGGTATAAATTTTGATTCAACAAATCTATTAATTATGTTCCATGTTGAGAAGAATCATATTTTAAGGAGTGATGAGTATGAAACACTGAAATTTCTTTAATCCTGACATCATAAAATAATTCTGAAATAATGTACAAAAGCCCTACGTCTTCATAGCCAAATGTAATAATAATTAGATATCAACAGTCATAAACGCTCAACATTTAGCAAATACAGTTTCTTACTAGTGAACTTTTAAAAAATTAAGATTGGCACAGATTTTAACACTATCTTCCATGTTTTCTATATAAAAAAAAAAAAGATAGATTTTTCATTACTTGAAAATAGGAAAACAACACAGAACATAAGCAACATACAGAACAGGGGATTCGTGATTTAAAACAATCATTATTAACTATTTCTTTTTAATTTATGAGAACTAGTTCACTTACATGGCAATCAATTTTTTTAAGACTGGCAGTTTATTTCCAAAATCGGCAAATGAAGTATAAAAATATTCCAGAGAAAATATTAAAATTTTACAAAACTTGTCTGCAATTATTACAACATTATAAAATAAAAGTAGAAGTGTCTATATGGTTACGACAAGTATACACTACAGCTGAAGATCAATTAGGAGTTGTGATATCCATTAGTAAGGCTGGTAAGTGATAGTGTTTTATCCTGGTAAGAAAAACATGTAATCTTTATACGACACGTATACACTACAGCTGTTAGGGTAACATTATCTAATTCTTGACAAATGAAACGTTTCACCAGGTGTGTTGTATGTTATGTCTAATGAAATAAAAAAAGCATCATTACAATTAATGGGTCCTCCAATGGAACAACGGTAAGTCTATGGATTTATAACACTAAAATTAGGGGTTTGATTCCCAACAGTGGACACAGCAGATAGACAGAAGTGGCTTTGCTATGAGAAAACACACACATACAATTAATGGCTGGAAAATTATGTATTAATACGTATCCAATGAGTATGAATGAAAGCCATTAGTAATAAAGGACATCACTGAAAGAGCCGAAACTTTTACTACAGCTGAAGATGAATTGGGAGTTGTGATATCCATTAGTAAGGCAGGTAAGTGGTAGTGTTTTATCCTGGTAAGAAAAACGTGTAATCTTTATGTATACTTGTCGTATAAAGATTACATGTTTTTCTTACCAGGATAAAACACTACCACCTACCTGCCTCACTAATGGATATTACAACTCCTAATTCATCTTCAGCTGTAGAAAGGAAGTAGGAATGGGCATCACCTATTGATAGCTGCAAAACTGTAAAGGACTCTTACAAATGTACATCTGTAAATGAATATTTCAGTTGGAGTTTCTTACTATATCATACAATGAACACTTGATTATCTAACTTTGTTTCTGAGAGGTATTTAAATTTTTAAATCCAATGTATTATAAAATGAGTTAGGGTGAATAACATTAAAATAATAATAATAATAGTAAAAACAGCATGAAGTAAAACTAAGGCAAAAATTAAAATCAACCACCTCTTGTATTAAGCTGCCAGTAAGACTTTTATCATAGTTTATAATTCTTTCTTTGTACAATAGAACAAAATACAATAAAACTGTTTAGTTACATTTTTCTCAATGAAGATGAGCTGTAATTCTAAGAACTTAATAATGAAAGTCAAGTAGAATGTATAATAATACGTCAAGCACACCACAATTACCATATCAAGTGCTAACATGGCCTTCTGCTCCATACAAGGGGTCATCAGGCCAGCTAGGATATGACAGACATGGCAGTTACAATTACACTTGTCATATGGCATTAGTATTAGGCCTATTACATTTTTAAACACATTGTTAATCTATGCTCTTAGGGATTTTCAAAAATTAGATGCTGTATAATAATAGTATTCCAACTACACTATATTTGTGATATCCATATCTGACGACACTTTTGCTCAATATAGAGCTCTTCAGTCGAGCTGAGATATAACACACACACAGCAGTGGTTGTAACATTGTTTATATAATCTTTTTAAGGTGTATGTACCTTTTACAAGCTGACAAAGAATGGTTATAATTATACTTGTAATAAGACATTAGTATTAGGCCAATTACTTTTCTAAACATAACGTTATTAAAATGCTAGCTATATTGGTTTGTTTGTTTGTTTTGAATTTCATGCAAAGCTACATGAGGGCTATCTGCGATAGCCATCCCTAATTTAGCAGTATAAGACTAGAGGGAAGGCAGCTAGTCGTCACCACCCAATGCAAACTCTTGGGCTACTCTTTTACCAATGCCCCATAGCTGAAAGGGCAAGCATGTTTGGTGAGACGGGGATTCGAACCCATGACTCTCAGATTGCGAGTAGAGCACCCTAACCACCTGGCCATGCCGAGCCACTAGTTATATTATCAAATTGTGTGAACTAAATTAGATAAAGAGTAATTTTTTATCAGTTTCATGTAATATTATGCAGGTTAAATTTCCAACTATTAAGGTTAACTATAATACTTTGCAGGTAATGTTCTTTTAAACTGTGATGTACAATTTAGATTTTTTATTGTAAACCTATGAGATACATATTTAACAATTACAAATAGTTTAACTGATAAATCCCTACAATAAATTGAATAGCTTACATTTCTTATAAAAATTAAAAAGATAACCACAGTACTGTACAGTTCATGATTCTTATTGAAAACATCTTTCCAAATATGAGTTCATATTTTACAGTTGATTAATTTGGGAATTTTTTAGTATTTTGTGAAACACTTTGCTTCTTCATATGCCACTTGTTAGCTGGGAACCCTTCTTGTTTGTTGTGATAATCTCATCATGGCAACAGTTTGTGAGATCGGCATTATATTGAGTCATTTTTTAAAGTTCATTTATTAATTATTTAAGTTCGGTTAATCATAACACAGGAAGAATCATCATATACTTTCAAAACAGATAAGACTAAATCATCAATTTTTATGTTAGCACTGAAACAGGAAAAAGATACAACTCGTGCAAGGACAATATCTCCTGGCCTGAAACACTTGTATAGCTCCACCTAAATACAAAACAATTCCTCATTAGTTCAATTACCTAATATCATTTAAACATAAAGAATTCTAACTTGTCTATTGCCACATACAAGTATTATATTTTAAGTTTTTCTTTAACACTAAATTTTCTTTCTCACATAGCCTCCCCTTCATATCTTTGTTATCATATTGTTTTTTTTTCTAGATGTTTGTGATTGAGATAAAAAAAATATAATCATACACTAATCACATTCTTAACTGATTGAAATTCAGTTTTATCTCTGAGTGGGGCTCTACCATGTTTACAATTTGGGTGAAATCTTAACTTTCAACAAAAAAAGCACTTGTTTAATAAATTAGTTGTAATATATGCTTACTTTCTAAAGGCAGTAAAAATAACATGAACTACACCCTATAGAAGATTCTTATGAGCTTGAAGTGTTTCATAAAACCAAGAGGAAGCATTTACACTGTAAACTTCATTTTCATATTGGGGCAACTTAGGTGTACATTAGGGGTGATATAGGCATATATTATGAGTGAGTTAGTGAATTGCAAACTCAAGGTTAGTGCCATTAAGACAAACAAAAAAAAAAAAAAAAAAAAAAACAACAAAAAAAAAACCAATACAGAGATGAAACCCTAATCACTGCTTAGATATCTCTCTTGTCAAAAAAGTTAAAAATAATTTCATTCAGAAGTTTTCCTCATCTTCTCCATATTTTGTGCACATTTACCATTGTGCTGTAACTTTGATAACCTCATTATTAATATACACCCAATTTAAAAAAATATATTTAGTTCATTACATAAGTAGTGTTGTTCTGAAATTCTACATAAACAATCTCAGAAGATGGTGTAGGTAACATATTTTGGATGTTGATAACATTTTTTAAGGATTTCTCTTCGTTTTCAGTACCTTTTTAAACTATATATTTTTGAAGACAAAGACTCAGTATGGAGCCCAAAATACTGTTTACAAACCAAAGGAACACTTATCAGCATTCCATTTTGTAGTTTTACCTCTTTAATCTTATAAACTAAAAGAACAATTCACACCACATCACTTGCATGTAAATTTCAACACTACCTTTCATATGCTTAATTTTTGTTGTTTTCTCTTCTAACTGTCCAAGCAGGTGCAGTATATCAAAACAGATGTCACCTATATTTATGTATTTTTATACAAATCATTACATCTATCTATCAATACACAAACTTACCAAATCTTTTTCTGTGGATCTTACATCCTCTTTCCTAAAAAATAAAATAAATATCACATACATATATATATACATATTGGTGGAACTTGAAAAGCATATAAATCACAAAAGTAATGTAAAAGATAAAATTAGCCTTACATTTACTAATTACCCTTGAAAAAGGAAGTTATTTTGAAAGTTTTGCAGGTGTAACATTTTTATCATTACATAAAGTTATAAAGTAATAATGACAATATCATGTACCCACTGTTGTACATAAAGGGGGAAAAGGCAAGACCTTCCACTACATAATTTTTATTTTCCAATTTACGTAGTAGTTTTAACATTGGACAAAGTGTATGTAATATGGAATTAATTTAATCTTAGTTTCATCTTAACATTCAATATTTTATGCAACTCACAAACAAACCATGTCCATTCACAAAATATTTTTTAATCTTATCTTAGAAACATATATACATATTCACTTAATATTTCTGCCACAGCTCCAACGTAACTCAAAACAAAGTCAAATGCTTATGTTCTGATATAGTTTCTTATGATTGTTAAGAATTAAAATTCTTTCCTGACAAAATTTTCCAGATGTTTTTGAAGCCATAGTACAAGATCCTACTGTAAAACACAAAACATGTTTTTTGGTTATAATAATATGTTATGTCATACATTGTTAGATCTCATTTAGCAGAATAAAAAAAATTCAATTAATAGTACTGTGTTTGAAAATATGAACTTATCATATTTCACAGCTTAAAATCTACTATAAAAAAAATGCAAGCTAATCCAAGAAGCAAAAACCCAAATATTTAGGTACAACTGTAAACCCCAGCTGACAAAAAGCATGACAATCCAAAAACTAGAAGGAAAAAAAAGTAAAACAAATCCTAAATATCGTATTTAAAACTCGCCTACAGAAAACCCAACTCTTGCACTTTTGCAATTAATGTACAATTTACCCATTTAAAACTATCTAATTAAGTAACAAGCTTTTTAGAAGTTTTGAAAAAAGCTAGCTACACAACAGGGGCTGTCTGCACACAGCCATTCCTACTTTTGCAGTGAAAGACTAGAGGGAAGGCAGCTACTCAACAGCACCACTGCCAACATTTGGGCTACTCATCTGACTGAACAGTGGGATATGAACCACAAGCACAAGGTGCACAGATAATTTCTGTTGCAATGGAACGTGACCCATATATCCTCAAATTGACAGTTTGGGTACACTAACAACTACATCAAGTACTGTGAATAATGTATCACGGTGGTCTGTCACACAAGAATGCTAAGCTAAGCCAGTAATATAAGTATAAAAAAGTATTTTATAGAATAACAAAACCCACACTGGCCCTAGCTATACTTATAGAATTACGTTTTAAAACTCAGCCTATTATACTTTGAGGTAAAAATGTTTATTATCTTTATTTTATTGTGTGTTACTTTATTACATTAATAATATTTTTGAAGCGCTATTTCATCGGTCTTTATACAACTGAATATGAACATACAGTCCTCTTTGCATGTTTCATCCTTGTGGTGATATATAACAGTCAAAAGTAAAGCTAATATTTAATACTTCTAGATGACATGGAAACACAATTTAATTTTTTTCATTTAGGAATTTTATACATATACTCAAGTCATATTCACAGATTTTCACAGTCTGTCATCAAACTTCGTAATTAAACCCCGATTTTAATATAACACATACTATATGCGATTTATTCACTGAAACCTGTTTTATCATCTTGAAAATATGAGATGTGAAATATAGGCTAATATTATCATTGCAAGAAAAAACTTTTTACAATTGATTATCAAAATTAGTGTTCAGAGACTGATTTTAATATGGCATATATTCTGATTGATTTATTCATAACTGTTTCATCATTTTTCCAAAATATGAAATTTGAGATATAGGCTAATATTACTCATTGCAAACATGACTTGATGCAAGAAATTGCAAATGATCACAAAGTACACAGAAGAAAATCAGCAACTACATTAGTGTAAATGTTTTCTCCCAATGAGATACATAACACAAACTGAAAAACAGTACACATGGTACTACAAGAAATCTTGCTTGAAATGTTTTTCCAATACTGGGCTTAAAGGCAGAATTAATGTCACAGATTTATATTTCTTTTATAAAGTACACTGTCTGTTTCACTTTGCCAAAGATTCCTGAGCAGTTAATTTGGAATCATAACACAGGTGTTGAAGTCCTGTAAAGTATATCAGTTTACCAGTTAATGTTTAAAAAGTTAAAACTAGTAATTAATACAAATGATTCTTAACGTTTTTAACATTTTAACTGATGAAAGAACATTATATTTCAGTTTCTTCACGGTTCATACAACAAGGTTTCATATACAATAAATATTTTATATTAATGAATCACACATACACTCGTACTATGTATAAATATCCTAAGCTGGCTGAACCTTGTATGAAGTTGTGGGACTACAGATATAAATATCACTAACAGTGAGGTTACGTAACTAAAGAAACAATACATTCTAATCATTGTAAGTAACAAGGTACAAATAGTTATGTACACTGCTGAGTTAATTTTTAGTTCTGATCTATGTAGGCATCTTGGATTGAAAACAAGGTACTATTAATTAAGTACGGTACTTTAAGTGTCATCAACTTCAATAAGAGAATAAACACATACAATACCTTATTTGTCCACGAAAAGGCTCTCTCAGCTCTGTATCCTCAACACAGAGAATAGAACACTTACAGACACGAGGATTTACACTTGTAATCTGGGGGAAACAAAACAAAAATATTACACTTATAAAATTGATTGGATGTAAGCACACACTAAAAACCACATATGTTTAAAGCTAGCAAAATGAATGAAACATCCTGACAAAATGTATAAGGGGTTGTGGCAATATTGAAAGAAAATTATATTTCAAAAGAATGTATGTGGCACTTCTACTAGAGCTTCAGTTTTTGGATAAAAGTGGAAAAAAGAACTGTTTCAGACTGGATAACCAATTGCCACTTTTTTGTTTTCTGGAGTAAAAAACTGGCAAGAATAGGGGCTTTAAAAGAAGGCTGATATTCTTTATAAAAAGCTTCTTTGAGCAACTGATTAGCATAAAATGAATCAAGTGGTAGGGAAAAAAAGCAGGAATAAATCAATAAATCAGAATAAAAAAAAGAAACCATGGGCTAGATGAAGTTCAGATATCAAGACATGAAAGATACAAGTATCAGATATAAGAAGATCGATGGTTGTAGCTCACCACCCCTAAGCATGGGAGAAGGTTTAGAAGCATGGAAGTGTTTAAGAGTGAGTGGGATGTTACAAATTTGGATCCTTCTTACAGTCTAAATGCCCAAGGGAGAATAACCCTAAGTTTGTTGAGGGACAAAAAGGTAGGATTCATTTGGGTGAAAAAGAATCTAAGTTACTACAAGTACATGGTCCATAAAAAATATTCACTCAAGTAAAAATCATAAAAACAAAAGCAAAGGTCAGGTAAATATGGCAAAGCATAAATCATGAAAAAATGTCCACAACAGTTGATGCAGAGTAAGAATGGACTTAAGTCTAATGTTGCCATGTCAGATCAGAAAAAACAAACTCAAATGACTTTCAAAGCAAACAAAACAATACTTCGGGGCAGAGGATTTGGGGGGGGGGGAGTCAAACTGAGATGTACACTTCAGTATATTTAGAACACTTCTATAACTTCAACCATTCAATTTCAACATATGTAGGCAATGGTGCTGAATCACTTTATCATATATTTATAAAGAAACATGGGAATAAGTTTAATATTACATCAAAGAAACAAAGTATTCAATTTGGGGGGGTAGAAAATTTCTGTTACGATCTAAAACTAGCACAAAAACAAATAACCAATTAGAAAATTAAAATCTGCAGCCTGTAACATTAAAAATTCCCAGTGACTTTCAAAGGAAAACATGCTCAATTATGAAACTATAAGAACACACAAATTATGTCAAGCAACTCCATTTTGAATACTTATGTATTAGATACACCAGTTAACATTCTGTGCTTGTCACTGATCCATTCAACTGACCTCATGTCTGTGAAGCTATTCATAGTAATACTTACTATAATTCTGAATATACTACACATATTTTCACAAAAATTGGCAAGCATTTAGTAAAATTTACAAGTCTGTTGTGCACAAAAAAATCATATGTTTTAGTAAACTTATAACCTTCAGCAGATTCTTGTATGTGAAAAAAATTCTCATTCTACTCGTTATAAACATGTCTATAAAAGAACACTTGATATGAATAAATTTGTTCAAAGCTATAACAAGATAAGAGAGGCCTCTATGGTGAGTGTAACAAATTTATATCTCAGTAATGCGAGTGGTGGGAGGTTGAAATTTTACATTCTGGTCTGTCAATACCTACACTTTGGAGTTTCTTATTAGTTGGCCTTCCTGAAAGCATTAGAACAAAAATGGAGAAAATATAAAAAAAGGGAATATGAGGGGAGATGCATCACATAACACATAGAAGTCAAGATTAAGAATTTATTTAATTATTTCCTTTTGAAATTAAGAAATAAAAACTTAAGATAATATGAGACTTCCAATCATATACTATGTTTTAATGCCAAGTGTATTAGCATACACTGATAGTGAAGTTGTATAATTACATTTTGAATTTAACTCCATAACAAGATCAATGAGATGCACACTTTAATATAGCCATGCACAATATGTATATAACTCACCTGTTTAAAACTACAATTTCCACTTCAACAGGAATGTAAACCCTCAAAACTTTGTAACATCAAAATTGAAAATTAATATGCTGTGGATGTTTCATTCTATGCTATCTTGGGTAAATTTAAAAGCAAACAAATTGGAGTTGCAGAAACTTGGCAATCACAATGTTAAAGAAAAGGCAAAAACACAAACTACCAAGAAGAAGAGTTCACAACAGAGGCTGAATCCAGAGTTCAAGTTCAAAGGACAATGTGCAGTGAGAATTTCCGAGACAGAATGAAGAAAGTGGGATATAAACTAATTTCCTTCCCTTACCATGTGTCTTGGTCTTCATTCATAAACTGGAAATGCATGTTTTGTTTAAACTGATAGATTTTCAATGTAGTAAACTTCCTATGATCTAATAAACCACTGAATGTCTATATCTCACAGTATCACAATGTTGTTATCATGGCTGATGGTGAATAAAATACATTCTATATTTTTAAGGTCAAGAAATCTGAATGAAACTGACATAAAACAAAAAAACGAGAAAGTATAATAAGCCATCTAAAAAAAAAAATAATTTTCACAGAAGCAGAACCCCAAGGACTATGTAAAAGAACTTGGATACAAATTCAAAGATATTGGGAATTTCAATCCTTTACAAGTAACCTACAGTCAAATAATTAGAATAAAATAAACAAATAATTCATGTTAGACACTGTTAATAAGTAGAGCTGGGTGATTTAATAGATTAATCAATATTATCAATTACCTATGAGTAACTATTACATTGACCAGTTACACTTAAACTAATCAATCAATTAAACAAAATTATGATAAAATCAGCTATCAGAAAAATAATCAAGTAATTCAAAAATACAATTATATCAGTTGTCTGTTTGTTTGTTATGGATTTTGCGCAAAGCTGCACGAGGGCTATCTGCACTAGCCATCCCTAATTTAGCAGTGTAAGACTAGAGGGAAG